GAATAAACGCATATTCGTTCTCATTTGTTTTGCATGTATTGTGCCGCTTTGAGAATAAACGCATATTCGTTCTCATTTGTTAGATAAATTCATGAAGAATAATTTTTTTCAGCCAACATATGATACACCGAAGATTATCGGCTCACTTTACGATCTTCATTGCTGGCATTGAAGCAACCAAATCGGTTATAAACTAGTCTCTCGAATACGTCCAAAAGTCCATAATATATCCTGGCTTCGTAGTTGTGGCCGAGTAAGCGAAAGATCTCGACTAACAGCTTAACGGTGGTGGATTCGAATGTCAAGTGCGGCAAAGTTTTCAATAAAGCCGATAGCTTTATTGACAAGGACAAGGACGTAAGATATAAAAGCCCAAATAATAATAAAAAAAAAATGTTTTAATTATTTTCTTAAAACAAAAATTAGAAAAGTGACCTCATTTATAATGAGACCAAAGTGATCTTATTCCAGCTAATAATTTCTATAACCAGGAAAGATTTAAAGAACGCAAGAATTTACGCGAACTCTTAAAAGATCAAATCAAGTTAAATAAATTTTCGAATCAAGTCATTTTTTCATTTATTTATTTATTTTTTATTAAATAGATATAATAATTACATCAGTCCTATATATACTTATTGTATATAAATAGTATTACTACGCTATGCTTTGTCTCGTTGCTTGCAGTAGTAGATAACCGATAAACAAAAACAGACCCAATTTGTTATTCTGCTTTAATTGGCTGAAGGCTGAGTTTCTTAAATTATTATAACTATCAACAATGTGCATTTTCCAGCCCATATTAGCATGAGTAAAACTATTATAGTAAACTGTGTCCGGCCAGGTTATATTCGGTGTAATTTCCAGCGTAGCAGGCTCATCATATGTACATGCCGTTATTAAAGAGCGATTAAATTTCTTAAAACTGGGGAAATTATCATCTAAACGACGATCGTAGTTGGCCGGATACCGTGAAAGGCATAGAGGGCCGGCTGCTGTAGGTTTGGGACGACCTCTGCGAGTAAATTCCACGCCGGCTAGGACACGAATCTCACTTTGCTTAGCGTCACTGAGGCGATCATAGCCTCCGCGTGGCTCATCCGTGATAACTAACGGATGATAATGCTCGGGTGAATGCGGATTATTACCGCCACGAACCTAAGAGGTTTTCTTAGTTACACCAAATAATTTGATTTAATTCATTTTATTATTATTCAAATACCTTAAAGACATAGGTAAGGCCACGTTTCAAATACAACTCTGGTATCATAAAGCCATTAATGTACCAAGCCAGGCCACTGGAAACATGACCTGTAAAAATTAGATTTTTTCTTAACCTAGTCATTAAAAACAAATATTTTCTTTTATATTACCGGTAATGCCTTGATAACCTTTTAGCCCACCCGAAGGGCCCAAATAAGCATTAAAAGTGCGCACAGTTCTATCGAGGGGATAAAAAAAAGTACGTTTAAAACGATTCAAAACAATTTGGAGATACCTACGGTTCCCATATGCGCACGCGCTCCCAGGTCTGTACGGGATTGTCGGTGTGTTTCGTGAAACTAAAGCAATCGTTAACCGGTTCTGTAGTATTAAAATCAATTAATATGTCACTTTTCGGATAAAAGTTATGAAAAGCTGGCTCGTTATTAGAGTCTAATTGGCCGAAAGCCCATACCACATAGTTGCTTCTATCTAAACGTATTTCCTTGTCACCAGGATCGGCTAAAAAAAAAAAGAAAATAAAATAAATAACTATTGAAAAAGTTCCTCTTCGCCATTATCTTTAACTTACAGGAAATTAAAGTCCTTCGAAAAGTTATGGTATTAATGCCATCCTTACGGCTATAAGTATTTAACTGGAAACTATCTAACCCTCCTACCATATCATCGCGACATACTCCCTTATTTTGCCCTAAGACTTGAACACATGGAGCCAATGAAGTTATATTGTAGTCAATTGAATAGCCTCGTATATCGTCGATATAGGCAACGACAACATCAGCTCCGATCATTTGTGAAGATGATTCCGATCCGGATAAGCCAAACGACATGTAATCACTTTGTTCTACTTGCCCCGATAATTGCAGTGTTATTTGTGGTCCAAACACTTCCCAAGAGACTTGCAGATTTTTATGCAATTGACGGCAGTTGGGTAAGGAAAATTCATAGGGTGTTATCTTCACCAACGATGGAGGAACATTTAAATTATCCGCTATCAGTACATGACCATAGTTTTCACTATCCGCCAAATCATAAATGCTAATCCAATCGATATCGAATATAGTCTTGTCGCCCGGTAACTCCAAAGTAATTGTTTCCTTATCATATTTACGTATAGGATCTAAACTATTAAGAATTTTTTTCCATTTGTCTTCTCTTTTTCGTTTGCTTTGAGTTACTTACTATCCCATTTCATCTGGTATTTTACTACCTCTACTCGATGGCTGGGCTCCAACGCCTGTCCAGAAGAATGTTCTTTTACCTTTACCATCATAAGTAAAATCTTTAATACGTATTGTTTTCGAGTCCACAATTTCGATAGCACTACTGCTGACATTGTGGCTACGTTTCGAGAAAGTGCCACCGTTTTGGACGCGCGGTGGTTCAAATTCCTCCGGTATGTAAACATCACCGAAGTTGTTTTGATTATTCAAATCGTAGACAGCCAACCATTTGATTTCGGTAATTTTCTTGCGATCTGGTAAAGTCAGCGTGAAATCCTTATTATGATAACGATCTAAAATATTCGTTCTAATGAAATAAAATAAAAAAAAAACAAAAAACGAAAAGAAGAAAAAATATTTGTTAATTAAGGATTGTATGAAATAGAGAAAATGTATTAACATTTTTCCCATACTTTCCGTATTCATTTGGTATTATGAAACCCTGGGGTCCGGGTCTGTTAGCAGCTCCTGCCCAAAAGAATGTATCCGCTCCGTTGCCGTCATAATTAAAGCCCACCAATAGAAAGGTGTATTCATTCACGGCATAAACATCACCCGAAACTTGATGATGATACGAATTTATTTTTCCCAAATATTTACCCTGATAGGGACCTTCGTCATCGTCGCCAACAGCAGCTTAGGAAATAGTAATGATAAAAAGATAAATAAATAAAAAATTATAATCAGCCATGGCCCACTGTTGAATATTCCACATCACTTCGCTTAATGCATTTCGCAGCAGTATTGCTCCGAAGGCTTTTCAAAAGCCTTCGTCCTTGGCCAAAATACCTCAGAGTACGAAATTTCAGGAAGACAATCTAAAAGAAATTACGACCTTCATGTTGAACGGGCGGACAGAAACGCTTGGACCGTCTCAGAAAGTGGTCGGTATAATAAAAGATGACCGAATCATCAATAAATCAATAATAATTATCACGTGATCAGCACCATCAATTTTCTCTATTATCATCTTTTTTGCTGCTATCAGCTTTAAGCTTTAAAAAAGAACTTGCATTGAAAACTCATAACGTCGCAGTGCATGTAGGTCTTATCGTTCACAAGCCCGACTACTATGCTTTTCGCTTTCTATGCTCCGCGTTCTTTTATTTGATAGCCATATCGCTGTTATTACTAAGAAAAAATGAATCGCTGTGTCTACCATATTCATTTTAGAATCAGCCCATTTTTTGGGCAGATAATATTAGTTTGGGGAAAAAGAAATCCATTATTTTTATATGAACTTCAGGACTTTATTTAACATGCTTCGGATTGTATGATTTGGGTCAAATATGCACCGTTTTGTTGTATGATTTGTTGCCATTTTAAAGGTATCTTCAAAATGTCTCTCTCATAGAAGTCCTGGTCTCTATTTGCAAAAAACTCTAGTAGTCGATTTTCACAATCCTCCCTAGATTCCAATTTTTTATCATTAAAGAAATTTTGTAATGCAAGAAAAAGATGATAATCGCTTGGTGCCAAGTCCGGACTGTATGGCGGATGCATTAAAACTTCCCAACCAAGCTCCCGAATTTTCTGGCGAGTCACTGTAGATGTGTGTGGCCTAGCGTTATCCTGGTGGAACACGACACCTCTCCTGTTGGCGAATTCTGGCCGTTTCTGGTCAATCGGTATCTTCAAACTTTCCAGTTGTTGACAGTAGAGATCAGAATTTAGCGTTTGGCCATATGGAAGCAGCTCATAATAAATAATCCCCTTCCAGTCCCACCAAATGCATAGCAAAACCTTCCTGACCGTTTGAGGTGCTTCACCGCTCTTTGACCACGATCGTTTTCGCACAGGGTTATCGTATGTGATCCATTTCTCATCTCCAGTCACCATCCGTTTAAGAAATGGGTCTATCTCATTCCGTTTGGCCAAGGCTTCGCAGATTGAAATTCGATCCATCATGTTTTTTTCTGTTAATTGGTGTGGCACCCAAACATCGAGCTTCTTTTTGAATCCAGCTTTGTGTAAATGGTTTAAAACTGTTTTATGGTCGATTTTTAGCTCCTGGGCGATGTTACGACTGCTAACATGCCGGTCAACTTCGATCATTTCTCCGATTTTATCGACATTTTCGACGACCGGCCTACCTGTGCGAGGTGCATCTTTAACATCAAAAATTCCTGAACGGAATCTACGAAACCAAAATTGCACATAATTGGCTGTTACAGTATCGGAACCATAAACACCATTCACAATTTTAGCCGCCTGGCTTGCATTTTCGCCTTTGTCAAAGAAAAACTGTAAAATGTACCGAATTTTCTCTTTGTTCACTTCCATTTTTAACACGCTGTAACTCACAACTGAATGCACCAAACAAAAAACAGCAAAAGAATTTTTTTTACTGCGAAATGTCACCTTTCCAACGAGCATAAATCTGAAATTGTTTGATCGATACTTTACGAGAAATCTATCAGTGCAGCCATCTACCGAAAAAATAATGGATTTCTTTTTCCCCAAACTAATATATCTTCATTTCGGGAGTGCGCAAAATTGTTTTAAACATTCTGTCTCGTTTGCCTTATGATAAATAAGCATAAAACCTCAAAAAGGTGAAAGAAAAATAAATAAAATTGATTCACATGTGACTTGTGTGGGCATGGCCAGCTTTTTCCATTTTCTCACGTAAAGAGAAAAGCGTGTCGCAAAGTAAATGTGGAAATTATCAGCCTTCTAACTTTCTATAATATCTGACTAGCGAACAAAGACCCACAAATTTTTGTTAAGAAAAACGTAGTTTCGTTCAGTTTATGCTCCATTGTGGGCTTCTGCTTCGACCAATTTGGACCATCTTGAAAACTAGCCTGCGTGCAAAAATTTCCAATGATTCTATCCAATTTGAAGTTGGTATCTTCATTTTTGCGACGAGGAGAATGCCAACAACAAACAGCACACAGACACACCAACAGCCATAGACATGGCTAAACCGAGTCAGAATTTCACGCTCATCAAGCATATATATACAGTTTATAGGGTCACTGAAGCTTCCTTCTGGAAGCTACGTATATTATGAAAAAAAACCAAATGAGTATACCGCCATCCCTCAGTGGTGGGTGTAAACAAGAAAAGGCGGAAAAAAAGACGAATAGTTCCAAGACCGAGCTCCAAGGTCTTTGCAGAAAGTCTTTTAAAAATCTATTAAGTGCGAAATGAAAGCAATTTGACCCATTTGCTTACTATCCTCTTGATTTCGAAATATTTGAATCAGTTTTCCTAGAGGACAATCTTATCTACGACGATAGTCTAACCTATGCTTTAATATTATCTCTGTGAAGAATTTTCGGCCAGGCATGGGCTAAGAAGGCTGTAACTGTTATTCTTTAATCCGAATATGGCCTAAAAACTGCATATTCCAAACTAAAGACATTTACGCACACATACATACATAGCCCGTATGTAAATACAATTCATGCTATATGAACAGATCGAAGGAGAGGAGAGAAACTTGTTTTTGTTCCATATTACAAAACAACTTTTTAAGAAACACATTCAAGAATGCAATTATTTAGAACTGTGGGGCAAATGGTGTTGAATAAAAGCGTTCAGCTAAGCTTAGAGTTTGCTTCCTATTTTTAGTCTTTCATTCTTAATTTAATAAAATTAATAGCCAAGAGTTTTTATTGCCAGCGTTTGCTAATAATATTGCGATAATTAGTTAAACAAGAGCGTAACCACAATGAAACTACAAAAAATTTATTTATATAAAAGTAGTAAAACTCTGCTTGTACAATTAACTGTTATGTGAGTCGGTTATAACGAGGTAGAGATTTTTTTTCGAAAAATTTCAACCATTTCTTTATTTACTCATATTAAGCTCATGAAGGATTTCGATATTAAGTTTGTAATATTATTTAATCGAAGTGTGAAGTCGAGTGTTTCCTTTAACTGTGAAGTTAAAAATCGTTTAACATTTTTTTTAAAAGTCTTCGATAACAATATTTATCGCTTGGCGCCACAATAATCCTGACGAAATGAGTTCAAATTCCTCGACAATCAAATATTAATAAGAAACAAGTTCAAATATTGCAATTCGACTTAACCGGAGATTAAGTGCTCTACACCGCTTTACCTATTTTCAATATAAAAAAAAATATTATACGTTCGCTCCCACGCAAAGGGAGGGACCATCAAATTAGACAGAAATTATTACTTTTAGCCGATTTTTGTCCATTAAAAATTAAAATTTGGTCTTCGTTCCTATATACATCCTTTTCTTTTTGTGACATATTTTTTATATAGAAAGGCTTATTTTTTTTTTTTCATCATAAGGAAAATAGTTCTGTACGATCCGAACTTACCATAATGGATTTATATGCCAAGTTCTTAATTCCTATCAATTGATCTTATTGTCACATAAAGATTTATTTCTTACAAAAATTTCTGTAGCGAAACTTGTCCCAATCCATCAGAACTTTTCATATACCTTAAGGATGCCAATAGTGCTATTTTTACCGAAAAATATTAAATTTTGGGCGTTAAAGTAGGAAATGTCGAAAAAGACGATAAACGCCCTAAGCCGACTTATTATCGTGATCTATAATAACTAGACGTCTAGTTGTGCGGGCATATCTAACAATTTATTTGTAGCAGAGCTAATGACCTAACGCGTTGGTGGATCTCTTTGTATATTGCGTACATAATAACAACGGTAAGTGCTGCTTCTGTACATATGAAATTGTTGTGAGGACTTAAAATCGCTTAAAGAGCTTTTCATCAAGGAGATCATTTGTATTGGATGTGACAGAATCTACCTTGGATTTTTGTTACATATCTCTAGCCTAATGAAGATCTTCTTCAATTGCACGCGTATTTCAATCCGTCTTTAAAGCTCAGTGGAGTTAAAGTCTTGATCGCAAAAAAAAAACGTGAAAATGAATCATTAATTACATCTGGATTACACTTAGTTCAGTTTATTGGTGCGTGGACTTGATTCTGAAGTAAATTCAGTTCAGTAAGTCGGGAGGTAGCACCGGCTTACTATCAATTCTTGATTGTGTTTAGTTAAGTTTGTTTGCGGCCCTGGTATTAAGCGCGAAGTAACCTCAGTTTGTCTTATCTCTATCTCTGGGCTTATTATTTTCATGCGCGATTAAATGCTGTTCAGTTTGTTTCTATTCCAAGGCTTTCTATTAACTCCGAAGTAAAGACACTTCGTCTTCTTTCTATCCCAGGGCTTTCTATTAACTCTGGAGTAAACTCAGTTTGTCTTCTCTTTACCTCTGGGCTTACTATTAATCTAGAATTCAATGCAGTTCAGTTTGCTTCTATCTCTCTTAATAGTAGTCGGACTTGTTATTGATGGTGAATTAAGTTCAGTTCAATCTTATACTTGTTGACACAGACCAGACTTATTTTTACTCTGTTGCTGTACCATGTCGGTCTTGCTCCTCATCAGTTTGTCTCTAAGAAGACACTGACACGTCTTTTGATCATCTCTATATCTCTTCAGGGCAAATGTAGTACTTGTTCATGTAAACTTTGAAAAAAGAAATAAAAATAAGAAATCTTAGTTTGGCCTACAGGTAACCTTCGATATTCATCGTATCTTAAGCCTTTTCTGTTAGTCCATCGGTACTACGTTTATGTCAAGCTTCCTTAAGTATTTAGGGCTCTTTTTAGATACATGTCTGCTTTCGGATTCGGTAGGTATATGTACTGAAATTTTGAAAGAAGTTTTTTACAGATTATGAATATGTTCTTCAATGGCTAAAAGTCATTTTCTGCCTTGTTTGGCGAATCGAAATTAAGATTAGCGATGCTTAAGCCTATTTCGGCGGTCCAAAGAGCCACCAAGACCCGTACGCGTAGACAGACATGGGTAAATCGTTTCAAAATGTATGCGCACTCTTTGCTTGTTTCACATATGCAGTGATGAAATTCTTATACCTTCCTACCTTTCGTTGGTAAATGTAAGAAAAAGGGAAAGAAACCAAAATTTTCCCTTAGGGGGTTAATTGAATTAATTCGACTATAGCCTACTTATATAGCGAATGATTTCGTTCTATATATATAACTGCATTTCAAAAATAGATGACTGTATTATTATAAGAGCTACCATATGAGTGAATGAGTGCATGAACGGAGTCTTTTCTGCAACATTCATGTCTAACAATAAAAACAAAAAACAACTACATAGCTATAGCTATGGCTATAGATAAGATTGTGAACATATGTACACGGTAGACCAGTTACGCGACTTGTATATGAAAGTGAATTTCTTTTTTTGTTTTGTTTTTCTTAACCAGCTGCAATTGGTTTGAATGAAAGGGAAACTTAAACTAGATTTTCTCTTTTCTTTCGTTTTGTTTAATTACATAGTTTTGTTGGATAAAAAAAATACATTTTTTGTTTTATTGTATACTTACAAGTCAGTAAGAAAAAATTAAAGCACAATAATAACAACAATAATAACATAAGCATTTCATAAAACTTATGTAAATTAGTCAAGCGGATCCGCAGATATCCGCAATTGATTGAATGCGTATTCAATGTCATTTTATTTATTTCAGATTTAAAAAACATCAAATAAAAATCCATTATGACTACGTGGAGAAGGGAAACGAAATTAAAAATTATTTATTTATTTATTTATTTTTTCTAATACGATATTCGATTTATATGATATTGTTAAAATTTTTTTTCCTTTTAAAATTTTCCTTTTTTTGTTTTGTATTCATATTGTACAACACTTTCACACTTCATGAAATTGTAGTAAAGATTTTCTTGCACCGCACCGTTGGCGTCATCACTTTTGTCAGTTGCGCTGTCAAAGCAAAATTTACAGTTTTTTTCTTTTTTAAATATTTTTCTACGAAAAAACGAAGATCGAGTGCGAAAGAGAGCAAGAGCAAGAGTAAGAGCGAGAGAGAGGGAGAGAGAGACAGAGAGAGAGAGAGAAAAGGAACTTGTTTAACTCTTTTTTTTTTTTTTGGTTTTTATTACCAAATCGAGCCAACTTTACCGTCTCCCTCTCTTTAAGCTTAACCGCTATAATGTGTATGCTTACTGCACGACTTAACTTCTTGGACTAATCACCATCGACATGTTTGAACTCATAATACCCTAATGTTGCTGTTTATTGCAAGAGTTACGATCAATTGATTGGTTAGTGGCTTGACTCATCGCTGTGCTTGTTGATTTAACGGTCAATGTTCGCATAAGTGCTTGCGGGAGAGTATGTGAATTGCATTTAAATGATTTTCCAATTAAATTTAGTATATAATTACTTCTCTCGTTCGAGTATTATGGAAAATATTTTCATGCGCGCTCTCACTTTACCGGTCGCTTTTGTTAGATTTTCATGTTTAGGAGTTTGTTTCTTAAGTTTTTTGTTTTCTTTGTCTAAAAACCTATGAGGTCTCGATCTTCTTAATACTCTATTCGTTCGTTGGCTCGCGTATTGTCTGAGTTCCCAAAGATAGAAATTTGAAACTTAAGTTATATTCGGCTAATTAATTAAAACTGCAGGTTGTAGTGTGCGAAAGAAAGTATTTCAACTGTAGAAAAAACAAAAAACTTATTCACTTTCTTCAGGGGCCGGAATGATTCGAGATTGATGTTGACACGTTTAAGGTGCGAAATTGGAGTCCATGTCCATTTGAAAGGGATTTGACGGCATCAACACATTCTCGAAACGCTTGTCTCCTTTTCTTGTTTTAGGTAATAGAAATGGCAATCGATTCGGCAACTCGCTAATTCCAATACCTCTTGGCTGTTAGAAGTCATTCAATTCTTATGACTGATACCTAAATGACAATCCAATCTGCATTTTGTTCACGTTCCGTATGATGTATGGTTACAAGTGCGGAAAATTAAATGCGAAAGCACTTGGAAAGAAAATATCTTCAATTTCTCTTCCGAGATCGACATGATTCGATATCTCTACTGACTATATTAGCAACTCATTTACGCCCAACAGATAGGTATGTAGTAAAAGTTATTTATTCGCGGGGTATATATATGTGCCGCGAATGCAGAAACCGTGAATACGGAATGGTAATTGAATACCTATAGGGATCCTTTTGTTATTATGTATGCACTTATTAAATTCGCGAATAAAGAAATTTATAGCCGCGAATATAGGAATTTTTTTAATTTTTTTTAATCCGCGAATAGTGAAAACGCGAATGAAGGAAGCGCGAATAAGGAGCTTTTACTGTATAAAAGGTATAGAATTGCATGAGGGGGCATGAGAGAATTCTAAAGATGCTTTGCTACGATGCAAACCGAACAAAGAATGAGTGAGTCAGCAATCGATTGCTGCATCCAATAATAAAGCCCAGCTACTAATGCTTACCTATTATCTCAACACCAATCATCAACTCTGTGCGATGCTCAAGTTATGCAGCGCAGGCCCTTATGAAGAATGACTATTAATTGTTGGCAAATTTTTTCTGCTTAAAGATCAGCAGCAAATCGACAACTCGATGACATTTCAAGACCCATTGAGACTTTGCTCTTTCAACTGACGCATTGTCGAACGATTTGCCTTTCAACAATTCGGAAGTAATCTCTAAGCAACGGCCAACTGAGAAAAAGTGGCTGCTTGTCTGACGGCCTGACGGTCTTGCTGTCGGCACGTTGCGCTTTGGCCGACAAATATGATTCTTTGTAATTTTATGATCACACTTTTCCAATAACAGGGAGATCTTAATGATTTTCTACATAACCTCCAAAGTGCTTCTCAACTACAATAATTTTTTTCTTGAACGTAAATAAGACCGTACTTTTGGCCAACACGCCTGAAAATTGGCGCTTTCTTAGAATGATAACTGCGAAAGCTAAGAAATGTTTTGTTAGGGAGGACAAGGTAACACGATCAGAAGGAATAGCAATGGTCGGAAAACGTTCTGAACTGCACTGGCGTTAATCAAAAAATCTTCACACAATTTACTAGAGAATAAAGATAGCAACCGCATGATTTATGGGGAGGCGCAGTAGGACACGACGAAGCCGCGATACCCGGGTATTTGCTATACCTTTAACTTGCCCTATCAGACAAAGCGAACCATTCTTTGAGTGTGGTAAAAAGTCCTGCGAATTTGGAACCGGATAGTCACGTGAATGATAAACGTGATGTTTTCGCGAAACTATCCGCTCCTCCTCTCTTACATTGATCTGTTCTGATGTGTTCCTAAATTTGGGAAAAAAAAATGATGTGAATTCTCTTTGCGACGTCGTAGCTTAAATTAATTGTAACAAGTATCATCAGGGTAACCTGAGGCCCCTAAGTGTTTATTAGTTTCCTACAACTATTCTGCATTGTTTTCAACGCCTAGAGCAGCGGAAAAAACTCGCAATTTTTTGTTATATTTCTTTACGGCGTGTGTTATATAAAGCCAAGTGCCTGATTAGTAAATAAAAAAAAAAAACAAATTTTTCTTTTCAATTTTATTCAATGTTAACATTATTTTCTTTCTTATTTTTATTATTAGTTTCATAGTTTAATTTCGTTTTTATTTTGTTGCTTGCAAAAATTAAATTTTTATTCTCATCGTTTTTTTTTACCATTTTTTGCTTTTGTTTATTTTCAAGTGCTTTTCCATAATTTGGTTTTATATATAATATTTATTTATTAAAATTCTTTTGTTTATCTTATTGCGAATTATGTGTGTTTTGTTTACGTGAGTATGTATGGGTAATTAATTGCGAAATACTTTTTGTTTTCTTATTTTTTTTTGTATATTGTATAATACAATATATATGGAAATTTTCTTTGTTTTATATCCGCCGTTAAAGATCAAGACACGCACAAGTATACAGTTGTTGTTTTTGTAATCACGTCTCTCATTATATTCAATAGAGAGCTGAAGAAGGAGGGCATATATTCTTGAGATTCTGAAATATTTTCTTCGATCGAGTTTAGAAAGACGCCTGAACACTGCCGAACTAAGTCCTAACAAATGAACTCTATGTCTCAGGGATGTAAGCAGTTTTACTATTAAACACATTAACACATTAATAAAAAAGAAAAACATTTTTTATATTATTATTTTTATAGTTTTGTATTTATAAACCAAAGAATGTGGATAATATTAATAAAATTCCGATCTGGCCCCATTTTAAATAGCGTTCGTTCTTGGATGAGCACACTTCAGTATATCAAATTTGATCGAAATATTTTAAAAATTGCACTCTGTAGGATGAACATGAGAAATGTAGGCGGATAGACGGACGGACAAGGTTAGTTCAACGCAGAATCGCTTTCTGAATTATTTGGTATAATAAAAGATGGGTATACTTCAAGTCCTTCTAGCTGTTGCATACATCCGCACAAACTCAACATATCTTTGTACCATAAGCGGTGTAGGATATAGAAATTATATAGTTTTGAATAACTCATATATCGTATTATTTAAAGAATGGTACTACGTGCTAAGTTATTAAACGTTGGCAAGATTTGAAAACAATTGCATGGAGAAAAAACGAACCATCAGGAAGAACGTAATTACCTTCGGGATAAGTTTCAAAACGTCGTTAAGATCTACATATACATATTACTTGGTCACCATGAATTACTGAGAAAGTTTAAAAACAAGTATAAAATTTACACAATTTGCTAACGGTCGCCGATTAAATTCTATGTCCGCAATAGCTAGCAAACTGGGCTCATAACACATCATTCAATAAGTTTGTGGATATAAGATAACTAGTGACAGATCTCATACGATTTATAGATGGTAGCAACATTCAAACGAACTATGTCTTGACGTTTCGATCGTTAGCTCGGACGCTACACACGAAATTTAGGGGCGTAACCACGTAACTGAAAATTAGCTGAAGGCGAAATTGAACGTTAAATTTTTCATTGATCGTATTAAAATTGGTGTAAGTGTTCCAGCACCGATACGCATTTTTACATGGATTTTTTACTAATCCGGCCCAGACCTACAAAAAGAAAATAAATTCGCCCAAATTATCCACACTGCGTCCTCCCTTTCATAGGTTTCAGATAACTACGGTATATTTCTATAAGAATATAAGAATATTTTAATTGGAATGATTTTCCTCGATTTTCAAACCAAGTTAGATTTTCCAAATAAATTTGTGATGAGGTAGTGACATAACATAATTTCAGAAACAAGAGGGACAGACGGCCGTGGCTATGTTGACCTCAATAGCGGATATATATAACAAAATTACAACAACCAAAAAAATGTTCTTCAATTTTATTAAAAAGGAAAGAAACGATTGGCGATTGGAAAGAAAGTAATTAAAAACTGCTAAAAACGAGACAGCCCGACCAACTGATAGCGTATTCCTCAAATTAAAAAATGCGAAAATCTCTCCGTACTCTATTCCATTGAAAGAAATAAATACGCGGGAGACGAAATGAATTAGTTACAAAGTTCCGTGAGTGTTATCTTCCGCCCAAAACGACCTGCCCGTTTTTATGAACAATCCGCAATCTCAACCTATATACGAGTTTGTTTCTTTACTTAGATTTTTGTTTTCATTTTTTTTTTTTTTTTGGAAAATGTTTGTATATACCGTAATAAACTATCAAATCTACGTCATCTTGATTAGCTTGAATAACGGACATGATTTAGTCATACCAAAATCACAATTATGCCGCATTAGATTAATTCGAAAGTCAGATCACTCGATGTAATGGGCCCAGAATTGGAAATCATTGTGCTGTGCCTTAAATTGTCCCTCCATAAAAGTTGCGTAAGCAATTCTAAGGCAAGTTCATTATATTTAATTACCCAGCCTATTGATACCAAAGTTTATAACCAAGTGGCAATAAACTGCTTTACTTTAAATTGAAGTAGATTTCTGTTCAAAACATAATAACGACAACAGGGGCTCTGCTAGCATTAGGTTTACATAATCCTCATTTTCAACTCAGCTCATGCGTACTTTTTGTGCGGTCAGTTTCAGTCTCCAATTTAAATCATTGAAAAAACTCACTTTAATTTTATGGTTTTGAAAAATTTGTCATTACATTTTGCAACCAGTGCTAAATTTGCGAAAAATGTAACAATAACTTAATAGTTTTTCTAAAACAAGTGAAATACGACAAAGTCAGCTGGCAAGATTTCGTGTTTGTGCATGCAATATCCTTTGCAAAAAAAAAAGAAACAAAATAAATAACAAGTGTATTGAAATGCAGTTTCCATTCGCCAACGTCAGCAGTAACCATTTATTAGCAAAGGAGTAGCTTTGTAAAGAACGAATATAGTATCCGTACTAAGAGCTGTCTGTTAAAGTTCATGCATTTCTTTAGAGAACTTTGCTTAAGTCGGTTCACGAGTTTTTTTCGCTCGGTCGATATCGGGCTCCAACTGAACTTGTCGTGAAAGTTCGGTTTAGTACGATTTTTTCGAAAAATTTTCTCATGAAATTGTTAAGTGAGTGGTAAATTTCCAAAATGCTAGGGAGAACGTAAGAATAATTTAATTTTTCAAAATAATGAAATACGAAAAAAATTCACCAATAAAACATCATGTTCGGCCATGTACTACTCGTTTTGTTAAAAAAAAAACAAGAGTAACGAGTATAAAAGCGGGCTATTTTAGTTGATTAACAAAAGCAGCAACCACTTGTTTGAAGAGAAGCAGCTTTCTGCTAAAAACATAATAACTTTTAACAAATAACACGTGTCTGTTAAATAGCATTAGCTTTCTCGTTTTAACTCAGTTCGCGCGTTCTTTTTATTGCAATTAGTTGCTAATTATTTTCTGGAAAAAATTCGATTTTTTGCGGTTTTTCTAAAAAGTTTAATCATAAAAGTTTGCAAAGAAAAGTTAACAAAGGTTTACTAACTCTTGAATAAAATATACAGTACGAAATATATCGTGATCGTACATGCACGCATTGCTTTGTATGTTAAAAGAAAAGAGAGTAACGATTGTATTCAAATGTTACCGTTGATTTAGTGAGATCAACAAACATATGCAAGCAGAGAGCATTTACTACAGAAGTGTGCAAGTAAAAGAGAAAAAATAACTGTTAAAAATGGCAAATAATGGCGAATTTTTATTTTGCGTTTAAATATCGTACAAAAGCTAGTGGCGGATATTAATAGATAATAAGAAACTAAGTAAGAATATTTCTTAATTCCTTCAGATGTAATTATAAGTTTGTCCTTTGTTTGGGGTCGGGGAGGGGGGGCTTGTTCTATCATCATACTTCTTCAAAGCATTGAGCGATTAATTTATTACAATTTCTTCTCTTTGGCTTCATCATCGCATTCGTACGATCTTGTTTTTTTTCTTTTTGAGGTTATCTCGTCACCTGGCAACTGTTTTTGATGTTTTGAGACTTTAAATTAATACGGCACAACATTAAAATGGAATGGAGCCGTGCATCCTTAAACACCGATTGCAAACGTTATTAAAGTGCTTTATCATAGTTTTCCACTCCATTTTTTGAATGCGATCACTCATTATCTATTGCTAGCGGCCATATGATTAGCTATTTTTGACTTAACTTAGCAACAATAATAAAAAAAAATATAAAAAGCTTCTTCTTATAAAATTTATTGTACAAAGCTTTCATAAAAGAAAAAAAATTGAAATAATAATAAAAATATTTATTTTAATTTTTTTTTTTTTTTTTAAATTATATTTATTATCATTTTCATTGTTTGTGTTGTTGATTTATTTTCTTTATGTTTTTATATATAAATAATTACATAATTATTTTATGTCTGCTTTTATTTTTTGTTTATTTCATATATTATTTGTTTTTATAGGTTTTTTATTTTTTATTTTTATTTAATAGCTATAATATTTAAGTTGTTTTTTAAGTTATTTTCTATAAATCATAAATTATTTTTAATTTCATATTATAATATAAAGTGTTGTATATTTATTTTTTCATTGTTATTATTATTATTACTCTTGTCTAATAAGAAGCACTGCAGTTGATTTTATGTGTGAGTGTATAAGTATGTGTATGTTTGTTTATATTTTCCTTATTTAATTTCTAAAAATTTCATTTGTTTAGAAAAAAAAGCAGAAAAAAAATATACAGGGAAGTACTTAAATTAAAAAACAGTTTTATTAAAAGAAAAATTTAAGATTTGTCATTATTTTTATATATTTTTCCTTTTACAAGCATAAATTTAACAATTATTTTCTTTGTTGTTGTTGTGGTTTTAAAAATGGCATTTTTTCCTCTCATTTTCTTAAAGAAACATGCAAAAATGAGCATTTATTGGGATTAAAAAAAAAAAATTATTTTTAATTTACTTCTTTTCACATTATTTACTATGTGCTTTTTTTTATGCATTTATTTCTTTAGTTTTTATTAATTTGTTATACGTTCCATGCCTTATGGTTTAAACTTAAAAAAAAAAAAAATCCATTTTTTTTTTTATAAAGTTGGAATGATCAACTAAAAGATGATAATTTTTGAAAAATATGTAAAATTTACGAAACTGATATACACGATTAATATTTTTAGATATTCGCTTAAGGAAAACCGGGCATCTTCTCAATGTCATAAAAACAATGTGGAAATTATGTAACGTCCAACTAATTTTAACATCTCTACGGTCCCTTCAATACGACTCGAGCAGGACTTAATTTTTTAAAAGGGCGATTTCTGCTTAACTGCACTACAAAAAAACCGAATCCATCTTTATTTATTCCCTTGTAAGGCGGGAAAGATACGAAGACTGTGTGAAATTAGCGTAAAATGCCGGCGTTTTCCATTTCCCTTTAGTAAGGAGGAATGCCTTATATCGGTCATGTCTAAGACTTTCATTTTACTGTTTACGATTTTTGAGATTGTTTTAATCGAAAACGTTTGACTCTTTGATTAAAGAACGCCTAAGTGAAACCAGTATGAAGACTTTCACATTTTGTTAAGGACCCCTTAAGCCAAAAAAAGGATATTAATTGAGAATAAGAACAAAAATTCACAAAAAAAAAAAAAAACAAATCAAATTCGTAGATTGAAAATGAATTGAAAATATTCAGCTTGAAACTGAGAACACATAATTTAGTATTAGAACGTGGAATATGTAAATTTAAAATTGGGATTCTTAGCAATTTTTAAAAAATCCCATTTTCAGTTCACATTCTCTAAATTTCAATCGGAAATACGTGCTTTTCAATTTACGAATTCTGAGTCTTATTTCCAACTACTCGTGGCTTCTGTTGTTAATCAGCTTCCAAATTAGTCCTACTGTTTATTCTGTCGGAAGATTCAAGATTTTCAAAACTTCAACTTTTGGATTTTGATATGAATTTAAAATTTTCAAATTTCATTTTATATCTCTGACTATGATTTATGAATTCTGAATATTAATTCGAAAGTTCTGATCTCTTAATTTCGCCTTCAGATTACAGTCTATACAAATTTTTGGCAAATTTTGCTTCGGATCCAAGAATCGATTTGCTTGTTTCCTGTCTTTGAAAAGCATACAAGAGATCAGAATGAAGAATGCATTCCATTGCTCCCATTTACTTCATACGCGAAGGCCTAAAACGCTAATAGAAAGCATCTCGTTGTCAACTCGTTCACTTTAATCATTTATTCATTTTTAAAGTTAAATATTTTTACTTTCAACCTTTCTCTCAAGTGTCAATGCCATAACAACATGTTGGATCGATTACTCTCGTCCGAAGTCTCTCCCAATTCTTCCTTTGAATTGCTTCTTATTTTCATTTCAATTTTGAAAGAGAAAAAGCTTTATAAAATAGAATGTATTTATATTAAATTTTAATAAATCATTACTGCGTTTATCGTAAAGAAATGGATAGATAATTTTGTAGCGTTTTTATTATTAATATTTTTCAATTTTTTATGTTAACATTACACCAAAAATGACGAGCTTTCTTTTAAAATTCAATTAAGAGATTTTTCATTTCGGTTTTATGCTTATTACTTTCTCATTCATTTTTATATAGTTTATTTACTCTTGTAAATATAAAATATTTCCTAAAAAAAAAAAAAAAAAAGAAAAAAAAAAAAATTAAAAGTGCTTTGAGAGAAGGCATTGTTTAACACTATGGCATACGGTTCTGTTCTATAATATGTTAGTTCAAATTAATAAGAGAGAATTGTGAGAACTAAAGCTTTCTCTAAATAAAAATAAAAAAAGAGCAAAAGTAAATTTCATGAAGAGTAGAATTACCCAACACAGGTCAACTTATACGCTGTTTATATTCAGATTTAAGGGAGTTTTTTTGCTAATAAAACATATCAGTGATAGAGATGCAGAAAAGAATGTTTATGGTTTTCTCTAAAGCGTTGTATTTGTTTTTTCGTTTTTACAAAAATGATTTTCATTTTCTTCTTTTGAATAGGAATTATCAAAAACAATAACAAATTATTACGTTTTGCATTTTGAATGGGAAAAACTCTGGAGCATATGTACGATGATAACAGATAAAAAAAAAAAAAAAAAGAACACTATGACGACCATTATTTAAATTATAAAGTTAAAAAAAAAAAAACAATTTCAACGACATAAGGTGAATATAGTCAAACAGTGATTGCCTCGATAGGTGCAACAATAATGCAAAGCAAAATTTTTTGATGGCAACAATAGAGCAAAAATATAGTCGATAGTAAGAAAGGGAAAAAGTGTGAGAGACGTTCAAATATTATGTATTGTGAATTAACAAAATGGTTTGTAAATGTTAGCTAAAATTTATCCTGAAATATGAACAAATTATTGGTGGCGGCTACAGCGATTATATTCTCCTGCGGATGCCAGGCTGTATGCAGAATTTTCTTATTAAAATCTAAACAATCGACACTGATTTCATCCTTTTTTCGTTTACCACCAGTACAAACTTTGCGCGGTTTTAGCACCGTCTTCGGTTTGAGAAAGTCACGAGAGGCCTCCAAGGTAACGTCTTTTTTGGTATTGCGATCAAATACACGGAAAAAGTTATTATAGCTGCCGGTCATTATTGAGGTATCTTTGCCATTCCAGCAGCATTCGAATTTGTCAAAAATGCAATCGTTCTCATACAAAGAACACAATTTGGCCCTTAAATATTCATGGACCTAAAAATTGAAGTGATTGAAAATAATAATAATAATAATAATAATAATAATAATAACAAGGGGGAACGTAAAAGCAATAACAATTAAAATTGAAATTAAATTTATGTTATGTGCAATAAATATCCTTACCACGTATGTTTCAATAGGCTTTGTTTCCATATGCAAATCCCACACTTTAATACTCAAATAGTCCCTTGAGATCATGTAACGGCCCGAATTGCTTAACTTTACGTCACTTATTGAGCTAATGATCTCACTGAAAAAGCTGCGATTTGTGGGATTTTCAGGCTCTTCAAATTGTTTGCTATGCCGATCGCACAGCGCCGAAGAACGCATATCACATAAGCGTATTGTGCCCTTCGAACTGGAATATACGAATACATTGCATTCGGTTGGATGGAATTCGGCAGCAGTTATCACCTCAGTTAACTCTTCCATATTTGTGGGCTTAATATCAACTATATTGAAACTTTCTTTGGTCACCTCCAAGTGCCACAGATTGATTCGTAAATCATCTGCCGATAGATAAGTCTCTTGATCTGAGTTAACACTAATCGAATTGATGTGATAGGTATGTGCATTGGCAAAGATGCGTCGTGGTGAGGCCTCGACCATTAAAGGGATTTGCTTAACAGAAGGAACTCGTAAGGCGGTTATATTTTGTGGATCCTTCGTTAGACCGTTCTCTCCTTTTGTATTATAGCCCTCAAAGGATTTGTCGCGCTCACTAACTTTCCATAATTTAACAGTTTTATCGTTAGTCGAGAGCAGGAAATGTGCAGGATTTTTTCTACGCAGCCATCGTATCTTATTAATTTTTTCTTCTATCTCTAATGATTTCAAATAATCGAATTCGGGCTCATGCGATTGGAATGTCGAATAGACATTATATTCACCACGTCGTGGACTTACCGTTTTTGATGCAGGGTCACGCTAAAATTAATAAACTCAATTAAAGAACGGCACAATCTATTACATTATATTATTATGTATATATATCTGTGTGAAGAACAGAATCAAGAGGAATTTTTGATGATACACTTAAATGAGATAACACTAACCTGAAATATGACAACACGTCCACCTTTGTCACCAGTTGCCAATAGTTCGCCGTCATGATTGAATTCAACACAGGATATAATGTCGGCGTCCGTGACGTCATCGTCTAAAGCTCCCTTTATTTGTGAGAAGCACCAAGCAGCTTCTCCATTACCTGAAACAAAGAGAATGATATCCGTTATTAAGACGCTTCAATTGCAAGTCAAATAATTTTAAAAAAAGCCCCGAAAGTTTCTTTTTGTTTATTAAGCTCTTTATATGTAGAGTGTATATTAGGCTTGCGAAAGGGAAATGCTTTAAATAATTTGTGATTTTTTTTATTTTTTTATTTTTTTTTTGGCAAAAAGGACCATCAGTTCAATAACCTTTGACATGTGCTACTAAGTAATATTTATATTTATTAAAGTTGTGCATGTAATAATAATATAACATAGTTATATATACATATATATATATGGTTCATATTGATTGTTGACTGACACACGACATTATTATTGTTATTATTATTATTATTATTATTATTGTTGTTAAGTCTTCCATTCAAATATGTTTGTATATATATATGTCTGTGCATGTGTAGAGAGAGAGACTAAAAATAGCATTTTATTGTCTGCATTGTTATATATATTTATTAATATCATTGGAAAAAAAATTTTTTATACAAAAAAAAAACACAAAAAAAAAAACCCACACACACACACACACACATATAGAGGCGCATACACCCTCATTAAAAGTTAAAAAAGAAAATCTAGAGCACGTTACGATTTTTTTTATTGCAAATGCGAAACTTATGTGTTACGCCGTTCAGTATACAATGATGTGTACAATTTTTCAGAGTGTAATTCCCATTCATAAATATACACAACGTACACTACACGACAGCCAGCAACAATCAAAAGTAGAATTCTAAGTACTTTTAAATGATTTAGACGTCCCTATGACTATTTATCCACCCCGCCCCATCACATATAAAGCATTTATTAAAACTTTCGTAATTCGTTATTCTTTTCTTGTTTGTTTCATAATCGTTAATGGATTTCAAGTAGGATTGAATTATGCGCCTTTTTCACGTACAAGCGCATTCCTGCTTAAACATTTTCATATGTGCGACTGAGCAGCGGTGAAGCTATATACCTTTATTTGTATTATTTATTGATCAGTGTGAAATACTTGAGCTGTGATTCAATCGTATATGTCAGTCCGGTCGCCTATCTAAGTATCAGGAGTCTGTTCACAATTGCAAAAATTGGAAATTGCAATCAGTCATAAGCCACTCCCGTGTTAGAAGCTGCGGTTCACAAATTCCGCTAGCTATTGATCCAAAGAACACATCCGTAATAAAAAGTTCAATGCAGACATTGACCGAAAACAAGCGAAACCAATTTTTCACAAGATTGTCTATGACTGAATGTGAGTGTTGAAGGAAGAGGCGTCGTACCATCGTCAGATACGTCCATAATTAGAAAATTATTGCGAAAGGAAAACCAAAAAACCATAACTAAGGATAATACTATAGCGAGTCGCGTCGACTTTTCTCGAAATTTGAAATTAAAGTGTTTTCTAGAAACACTTAAATGCAGCACTCGCCGCATACATTGCCATAGATGAAACTGTTTCAACAAGATAAGAACTTCTCTGCCCGTCTGTATAGCGAGCTACAAAACTTGAATTTATGTATTCGTTGGCGTCTTTTTCATCTACGGATGTAGATGAATCAATAAGTGTACGCCATAGCTTACGAATAAAAAGCAATAATCGCCATTGAATTTTTCATCGCTGAAGCAACATCGCAAGCAACACAGAAAACATATTTTTGCTTTGCGTGAAAAGATCCCTCTCCAATATCCTTTAGTGTATAGGGAATATTTGAAGGCAGAATGTCATTAACTCTGCCTAAGCGCAAAGCGGAAACTTCATAATCATTTCAATGTTATCTTTGAAGGACATTCAAAAATGTGACGTTCACTTAATGCAAGGATCAAAAAAACATTTTAACATTTTTGCACAAACACCACAGCATAGCCAGTTGAATATACATTCAAATTGTTGTAGAATTATCTGCTATAGCTTTTTTCATTCCTTTTGGAAAACAGAGGTGTCCTCAGTTGACGCGGTGCTGTGAGCGCCCATTTTCAATACCAACTTGCGTGCAAGGACTTCCAATGTTTCTGCACAAATTTGAAGTCGACAGTTTCATTTTTGCGGTGAGAAGAATCTTTACAATAAACATTACACAGACGGACGAACAGACGGACATACTTGAATCGATTCAGAATTTGTTGCTGATCAAGCGCACATATACTTTGTGAAGTCCGCGAAGTTCCTTTCTGATCTTTGCAAACAATAAAATGATATTTTAAGTAGAGACTCGTGGCATGTTTCTATTGCTGTTACAGTAAATAAGAAAAACACACTGCCCGCATTCAATATATCTGGCCACACATACTTAATAAATTTCGTAATTTGAGCAAACATTTTGCCTGTATATACATATATAAAAACCTCAAGAGTGTAAAATCTTACAAATGTTGAACGGAAACACACGACTATATTTTCGTGTATTAAGAGTTTTTTTTTTTTTTGTTTTTTTTTTTTTTTATACAATGTGTAAACATACTGCTTGCAAATGCTTACGTCATATACTCGTAAATGTACTACTTGCTTGTAGATATGCTTATATCATATAGTCGAAGGCTTAGCTATGAAATCAGAAGACTGCTTTCGTGAACAAGAGTTCTGGTCGTAAATATATCACTCAATATGTCCGTACGATAACATATAAATAAAATTAAAATTTCACGACATTCCAACTATGAGTGCGACGTTGCTTTTTTAAAACAATGGGGAAATTTGAATTTCATCTTCACGTTATCACATACACTCCGTATGTTATCACATACTTCCTTTAAAGGTTGATGCCATCTAGAAATTATTTCAATTGGATATGACATTCGTTTGACGTTAATTCAGACCCGTGCAGTTCAATTTCATATTGGAAATGGTTTTTCCAAATTCCAGGGACGGTCACATTGTAATCATTCGTCGACATTTGGATATTTTTACTTACAAAACCCCAGATGACGACTTAAGATTGTTCCTCTCTCATTACGAACGAGATCAGTTTAGAATCAGAAAACGGATTACATAAGACTAATAGCTTTGTCTACTCGATGATTGAACGGTAGTAGCAGCTTTGCTTAGAATCCTCTCGCCTGCGCGGAAAATTCTACAATCCCTACACAATGTAATTTATTAAAAATACTTCCATCCTATGTACAAATCGTAAAATGCTCTCATCTAAACTGAGACAATCATAACTTGATCAGTATTCCATTAGCATAAGTATTAGCTTTTATTGGTTCCTTGCAAGGTATATTGACACATAGGCTTCAAAGTGTGCGGCATTGTGTTGGGAAACGTAAGAAAGACGTAAGACGGAATTTTGATCAGAAATGTACCGTTGCGGAATGCAAGTCAGGTATTGTTCTCAATAACTAGGATGCATTTTTCTAATTATTATTCACTCACTTAAGATTTTTATTTATGAATTATTTTTTAATTTTTGCCTCTTGCTTGCTGCTTATTTTGCTATTTATTTACTTTCTTCTATTATCATCTCCGCAGGATGAGGCATATTATTCATTTTGCCAAAACGTTTGCGACGCCCGGAAAGAAGCTTCAGAGAGAACACAAAGTACTTGTATTTTTGATTAGCATTAAACTCTGAATCGAGTTAAGAGTGTCTGGCTGTGTGATGTCTGTTGTAAACATTCTCTTGGCCGCAAAAATTAAGCCATCGACTATAAATTTGACAGAAATATTGGAAATTTTTTTTACACAGCTCGTCATTGAAAATGAGGCAGATCGTTCGAAGGCCACAGTCACAATGCAATATAATCAATCCGATACCATATGTTTTCAAAAATAAAAAGAATTTCGTTTTTTTTTTTCGTTACCTACCAACTACAACAGATACAACGATAAAAATTTCCATGCATACTGTGCAGGCCCTGAGCATTGAAACAATCGGCCACGCCTACCCAAAATTATAAGTGGTTTTTTTCAACTTTTTGATGTTTTCTACTTATCACTCATATGATTATTCTGTAGGCTCTTCACGTGAAAATGCATTACGTGTGCAAGAATGTGTTAATTCTAAAATAAATATGGATATGGTGGATCCCACAAATATCAATAGAAGGACTTGGAGAGTAGAATGCGACAAGTTAATTATGTTAATTCTAAATTAAATATCACGGACGTCACGAACGTATATGACAAATAACGGAGTCAGGTATAAAAGATTCGGTCGCGGCCGAATATGATTTTCTTATTTATTAATATCATTATTACTAATGCAGTTTATTTAAATTAAAGCAACATACTCCTGGACGAGAGTAAGTTGAGCACTGCCAACTAACACCAAATTATTTACTAGTTTTTATTGTTTGTTGAATTATTTATATATATTATAATATATGTATGTATGTATATGTAACATCTAATTATCCATTATTATTATTTTAGTTTTCATTTATATATATATATACATATATATATATAATTTTTATATTATAATAATTACATAAAGTCTGTCCATAATAAGCCTTGCGCTGAGGCAATGAAATGCTTCCGTGCTAATAACAAATAACATGACACAAAGTTCTGGATACTAACGTACTAAAAAAAAAAAAAACAGGTTACGTTATAAACTGATTAACAGGAAGATAAAGTTGATAAAAACTCGAAAGGACTGTTTACACAGAACGAACGTGAACAAAAAGCAGACTTTCGACTAGCAATCCCCTTATTGTTGGAAGACTTATGAATACTCGATTCTCGATTTCTCGACTTCATTTTGATCATCTCTTATGTTCGCGTTTCACTTAAATGTTAACGTTTTCTGCTGAGCTGGGTCATCCCATAAATGCCTTATCATCTTATATTAAAATTATTTGGAAACAAAAAAGAATCAACAAATGAATGAATGAACCATGTCTTCTGCCAAAGAAACCGTAAAATGTCTGAAAATGTTATAAAATTCCCATGAAACTCACATTATCGCGATTAAAGCGAATTTGCAAGTTATTTTCAACACTTCAAGTTTTATAAAGCAAAAAAAAAAAAAAATAAATAAAAAAAAAGTATATA